ACTAATAAACCATTTCCCCATTTTCATAGTAACAAAATGCAAATATGTGCAAATTACTCTCACGCACTGTTTGGAACAGATAAATTCAAGACAATTAAGCCATCTAGCAAATTGACTATGGAAGAAATAAGAGATTTTCTTTCTTTAAATTTTTGGAACAACTTTTTCTCTCCCTCTCTAGCAAGCTCAAAGTGACAAAGTGAAAGGGCACATCAGCATTGATTCCCTGAATCAATTTTTTCATGTCCAATCTAGAGTCGGAGCCAGCAGCAGAGCTTGGACTTATTTCTTGAGACAGAGACTGATAATAATGCAAAAAACCGATCAAACTGTATTTAAATACCCTGGTTTCCGAAGAAAACTTGGATAATCTAAGCTATATAACAATATTTCTATCTTTTTTTCCCAGCGTTTCTCGAACCAAACAGAACATATAATCAAGCTGCCATGTTTCTCTCCTTCATTTTTTGTTTCGTTTAGCTGATCCTCTCTTTGCTAACAAGAGACAAAATCGACATTTTTACTGACTGCGCATCATCTAAGACGTAACAAGAACAGCACATCGTACTCGATGGTATACCCAAAATTCGACAACAAAAGGTGGCGTGAAAAAAACGATGCAAAACAAGAAAACGAAGGAAATAAGGAGATCAAATCCGATTGAAAATAAAGAAAGTGTGAGAACAGAATTGAGATGATTAAACTATAGAATAAAGATGATGTCAGTGTACCTGAGACTTTGAGAACGTCAAAATTCCTTGGTGTAGAAGAAGATAGATTTGTAGATGGAAATAGGCCTTGGAATTACGCTAGGGAAAAGAGAAGCTTCGGGCTCCAACTGTCACTTTCGGTGACTCGGTGACTCGGTGACCCGGTGACGTGTCTGTCGTCACGTGAAATCGGGGATACTTTTCAGATGTTTTGACACGTGGCAAACCCGATTGTATTAAGGCTTAATTACTTTTCAGAGAGTTCGAGAAGGGGAGAGAGAACAGAGAACAAGAGAGGAAGGATCCAGAAAGAGAGAGAAGATGGGAGCTTGAGGTTGGCTTCGATGTTCTATGAGTACAAGGGGTAGAGAGAGGAACAGACGGATGAGTGGGTTGGGGATTGGGGGCGGGGGGTGGGTTGGGGGTCTGGTGGGGTGACGGGGAAGAGGGATTTTTTATAATTATTTTGTATTGTAAAATATTTAAAATCTGTTTTTTTATATTTAATTTGGAGTTAAAGTTTTTAATAGTTAATTACTAAAATGCTTATGCCACGTCAGCACACAAAAAAGCAAATTTTAAAAAGTTCCGTTGCCGGGAATCGAACCCGGGTCTCCTGGGTGAAAGCCAGATATCCTAACCGCTGGACGACAACGGATTGATGTTATTATGACAACATAAAATATTTTTAAATAGTTACGTCAACAATGTGAGACAAGAATGTAACCTTGCCATTCTATATTGTTTTTATTTTTTTAATGACAAAATATTATTGAACCCTTCCATCATAATATTGGTGAATGTAAGAAAGTTGTAATTGTTGTCCATGCTTTTCATGCACTCAAAACAGTAGCATGTGTAATACGAATACCCCCATTTCATGCTTATATTTGGTCGTTTTATCATTTTAGTTTCTAGTCAATCTTAGGGCATGTTTACGTATCAGTAATGGGTATGGAAGGAAATGGAATGATTTACATTCTTGACTTTCCCTGCGTTTACTTGCAATTATGAATGAAAAAATAAGTGAGCCCCACCTCAAAATCCGTAATCACATTCCCTCAAAACTAAGTATCAAATCAACTAGGGAATAGTAGTCGATACGATTCTCATTCCTGTTTTCTCTTAATAACTTCCAAAAGTAACCTTACCACTTTACCATAATTCTAAAATTAATTTGGATTCTGATTCATTCAAATTAGTAAACAATAACAATGGGAATCAATCTCATTCCTTTGCTAATTCCATATGCTTAGTAAACAACTTAATGAGAATTATTCTTCCCATACTGATTCAGTAGTTCTCCGATTCCTAAATTCTCTTATTTCTTACTTTCTTCATTACTGATACGTAAACATGTCCTTACTTTCCATTTTGAATCATTGTTTAGTGAAGTTGTGACTGTGCTGACTTGATGAAATCAAATAACTATGTACTCGAAGTCTCCCGTTTCTCAGTATCGCTTATATTTAGGACCAAAAATAAACAGACGGGATAAAAGGAAAACATTTACAAATTAAAATTCATAAAATGGTGTACTTAAGAGGGGTATTTCCCTTGTAAACAAATATAGCATGTAAGCTAGCATCAGTTGTGGCTGTATATAAGTTTGTTTCTAAAGGGGCTTCACTGCTTTTCAGGATTCTGCTACGGTTTCTTCACTTCATTCCAGGCCTGATCTAGATTCAAACCTCTAAGCTTCGTCTGCAAAACTTTGTTTGAGTTTGAGAACTTCTGTAGCAACATGAAACACTAGTTTAAGTATCATTACATCAACCTCAAGGACAAATAATCTATGAGGAAAAAGCAGTGAAGTAGATTCTCAATTTCTTACCATCGTCGAAGCATCATCATACTTTTGGCTCTTCAAAGTGAGGAACTCTTCTTGGTGTAAGAACTTGTGCATCCACCGTCGTTAACAGTTGCGGTATTGACAGACCTCCAGAGATTACAATTTCTGCAGCACATGAACAGCAGAAACCAAACTAGTTTAAGAAGTCAATATTCGTAATCAGATAGTACATTATCTTGCAAATCTTTTCTGTACGAAAAATTAATACCAATCCCCTCTCGAACGGACAGGTTGGGTCTCAGAATATCCTTGGGACTAATCAGAAAAATATCTCCGAGATAAAGATGGTTGGTAGGTACATAAACACAACAGAGTTCTTCTCCTACACTCCTTTGATCAAGAACAACTGTTGAAGTGATAAACCCTAATGCATACTCCCCAACTCTTGGATGCCTTATTATAGCCACTTCCTTGAAAGCATTAGAGCTCTGATCTGTAAAGTGAGGTCAAATGGCTCAAAGTTTCAGAATCCGGAAGCTCAGACTACAATATATGGTTGGTTAGCAGCATATACCTGGTGATATTGCTATACTAATTTGCTTTGAGGCAGCATAGATATAGCTTATAAGTGGCATTTTCTTGATAAACCACTCCCAGAGAGTAAGAACAGACGTTCCCAACCACGATTGCATGAAAACACCGACGAAAAAGATGAATGTGAGGGAGGTGGCAAATCCAAGACCTGCAGATTCAAACAAGTCGCATGGAAAAATAATAAGATGGTTCAGAGTTCAGACAAGAAGAGACTATTAAATCACATGTTACTGGTTGATTAATTCAGCCATTAACATGCAACAACAATCTATTCCACTATCCCCGACCATACAGAAAAGTTCCTGGCAACTACAGGCATGTGTTTGTTTTGTAAGCTACCTCCCACAAATGAAGAATTCTACTTACCAAAAATATTGATCCCTAGGCGATTGTAGATTGGGGAGAAGAAACCATCCACAAATTTAATGAAATGCCATGTGATGTAGAATGTAGTAGCTATTGGAAGAAGAATGACACTGTAAAGAAAAAAAAATCAGGAAACATATCAGGAAAGTCGATATTTTTTTACTGCAGTGTATGCATTTCAAGAGAATGCAATGGTAAATATGAACCAAATAGCTTTAAAATATTAAATTTTAGTTCAACACTAGTTAACTAAGCCTTGATGGCAAGTACCAAGTTGTTGGAAATGGCTCCATAAACATGGGAAATTACGGTGTTAATACTGCATCAATTTTTCGGACAATTTATTTGCATCCTAAACTCTTGCAGAATGCCACGAAAGGAATTAAACATTGTTAAGTCAAGCAAAACTGGAATTAGAAGGGATAAGAAGTTACCATCCTGTCATAAACTTCTTGGAAGCCCAGCTGCGGATGACTTTTGAAAATGCCTATACAAAAGTAATAAGCATAGAATTCATGTAACTTTCCCAAGAAAATATTTGATCTTTATTTTTTTTTCTTTCTGGGTCAAGAAGAAAACATTTCATCCAACATATCATAAGACAAGTAACGAGAACATAGACAAAGAGATCACGATATTGCAGGCTAGGGCTAAGATCGATCAAACCAAATTCAACATAAAATCTATGCCATGTATATATACATTTCATGCATATTTGTGGTCATTTAATATATCCAAATTAGAATTGAAGAAAAGGCAAAGAAAGGAAGAAAGTGAATCACCTCGCGGCCAGTGGTGTGATGGGGATGGGATGTGGTAGGAGGTGGTGAGTTGGCTGGGGAGGAGGATTTGGAATCTGCATTTTCGTTACTTGGTGCAACTGGGATGAGGAGCTCTAGATCCCTCTCCCTTTCTCTCTCTCTTGTCGCCATTGTTTTGCTGTTTGGGTGTTGGGGTTGTCTCTCTCTCTCTCTTCTGCCTCCCTTTGAGTTTGGCAGAAATACTAGGACCACTATAACTGAAAATCAAATTTAACCAATCATAGCTCCTCACCTGTTACTTATAAATCCCTCCCGGGTTGAACCGGTTCTATAATAAATTTATTTATTTTTTCATTTCATTTTTTCCTCAAAGTCTGTCAATAGAAATACACCAAGCCAATGCATATAGGAAAAACCATGTTTCAAATAGCATATCTTATAATATATAGGAAGAAATATTATAATCACAATCAAGGAAGCATTCAGATACAGAGTTCAGTCTTATAAACATAAAAGATAAAACTCTGCAGCTCTCACTCTCACTCTCACTCTCAGAAAAATCACAAATAATTTACATGAAGGGGGGAAAGTTTCTAACTTGACCTAAATAATATAAAAGCATTTCTTCACAAAGAATCCTAATTCCTGTGCATACATAAAAGGAGAGCCACAACACTGAAAATTCTTCTAAGTTCCTGCAGGTTTAGCACCTGCATGCCATTGCCAACCTTTATTTGGTAATTCTGGTGACATATAAGCCCCTCTGTCTCTTTATCTTTAGGTACTTCCACCTGGGTAGTGGCAGCCATCATAGCCTACAAAACAGAAAACAAAACAAGTTTAAAAATTAAAAAAAGAAGATCAAGATCAATGCTTGAAGACACACAAAAGGAGTTGGGATTCAGAGAAACACTTACTGGGATTGTTGGATGAGAGTGTAGCTGTTTGTGAGAAATCGCAATTCAAAGGATCCCCACCAGCAGTTTGATAGAGGAGATTCATGGCATAAGCAGCATGGGATTGTACTGTGTTTGGTTCAAAACAAGCCCCGCCTTGTTGAATTGGGCTGCAATCAAAACCATGTCCACAGACATAATCTATATTGGCCTGCAACTGGGAATCTGATACTCCGGCCTTCGGCAAACACCACGCTGCCTTCTTTGGCTTTGGCGCCGATGGATTAACTGGCGTTTTGGGTACTGCAGAGGGCGTGGAGGGCGTGGTGGAAGGCGTTGACGGCGTGGAGGAAGGCGTGGAAGGGGTCTGAAGCAAAATAAATCAAGTTAAATTCAATGGCTACAACAAAAACACCAATGACAATGATCAAAAACTGCTTAAACATATAAGTAGCTCATAATCCATGAATTGGGACCTTGAGATTGGTAAGTTTTTCTTGTTCATTGTTCTTATCAAGCGCCATTAATGACATGATATAATTGATATTAACAAAAAAATCTACACCATATCTAAAATGTACACATTAAAGATCAAAGTTTGATACTCGATCACGATGATTTTCAGTTTTTCACCTGTCCAGTCTTGGAGAGGCCAACATCATAAGTCATGGTGAGGTCAGGCTTGAAGAGACCAAAAGCTCTCTCAGAACCAGGGCCAGGCTTCAAGTTCTCATCGTACAGTGCAAAGAGGTAAGTGTCAACTGACTTCCCTGGCATCAATGGAGTCCCAGCCATTGATCGAAGGTGTGCAATCAAGTTACCGTTATAAGCTCTGGCGTTATCAACACTGGGCCCCACCTCATTGCTGTCCCCTTTGTAGGGCCAACCAGTCTCAGCCACTACAATTTCCACATTCTTGGCTCCCATTGAGTCCAATGCAGATCTTATTGCATCCACCTGCACAGAATTGGCCACTTTTACTTGACAATTAAACGGTCTTGGACCGGACCGACCGGCCCAGACAATTTACTTAACCGAGTAAACCTGGTTCACTCACCTGAGCATCGAACATGTTCATGTATTTAATATTTGTTTTCGAGTCGAACCGGCCCCCGTTCGGTTGGAACAGACAAAAAGCTAGCGTCTCCGGTCTCGGGTCGCTTCGGTAAGCGAAGTAGGGGTACGGGTTGATTGCGAAAGGCGAACCGGTGGCAGAGTTAAACGCGAGCAACCACTTCATGACGTCGCCAAAACCGGGGTCGAAGCTTCCAGAAGACGGCGGTTCAGATTGCTTAAGCACCGCCATGGAATGGACGGTGGAGACCTTAATCTTCCCACCCAAAGATGCGGAATCGAGGGCCTTTTGGACATTCTGAATCGCCGGAACCAACTGAGAAATCAAGCCCTGGTCGCCGGAGGTCAAGACTTCGTTGCCGACGGTGATGAGAATGATGTTGCTTGCCGGATAGAACGGGGCCACGTTGGCGTCGACCCAGCTCTTGGCGAAATTCTGGTCGGATGCAAGACCCGGGATGTCTCCGTTCGCTGCTCCGATAACAATTCCGACGCCGGTGTTCGCTAGAGCTTTGATTATGGCCGGGTCGGATCCGTACAGCCGGACCTTTTGGATTGAGGTGGACTGTAGTAGCTTTGCGGTGGCTGAAGGTGGTGGGAGGTTGTCGGCGACTTGGCCGTAGTTTACGCCGACAAATGATTGGCAGGCTGCAATTAAAAAGAAAAAGGATCATAACTTTATAGCTCCGCGGCTCTGCCAAACAGAGCATTTGTTTCTGTAATTTAATTCCTCAAACAAAGATACACTTTTTCTTCTTTAAAAGAATTTTGTTATATGGGAACAAGAATTAAGAGCTTACTTGCGAGGTTAACAGCCAGAGTGAAAAACGCTAGAGTACGAAGAAGCATAATCGCCATGGCTGTAGAAAGGTCTCTGTTTCGCATGGTAAACAGAGTGCTCTGTTTCTCTGAAGGTGAAGCAGAGTGAAGCAGTGTGCAAAGGAATTAATAGATGGCAGGCAGCAACAGGACTTGGGGCAAAATCGTAAAGTGATCTTTCGGTGGGCTTCGACTTTACAAAAGCAAAAATGGCACCACCGCTAGTCTCTCTCCACTGTGGAACTAACTAAAATCGTAAATACACTTTGGTTATCAGACATGTGGTACGGATGCAACGTAGGAAGAAGACTTGTCGGATCAAGTTAAGCATTTGATTTATAAGCCAGTTCAATATGTTAATCAAAAGAAGACAAAAATATCTAAAGCAAAAAACCTCTTTTGTTGTTGATCTATGATCTACCATATTTTACTTACTCAGTAAGCAATGGCATTTCCTTTTTAGAACGTGACGACATTTCCAGCTTAAAAGAACTTTGAGCAACGTAGAAAAGTAAGGCATTTGCAAATTAAAGAGCACTGAAAAAAAAAGCTTCTTATATAATAGTAGAATATGAATTGCTTACTTCGAGAACAAACACGTAAAGGTAAGCCAACTTTAAGAAGTTGGGTATAATTGGTGCACAAGTAATCTTATGTGTTCGGTTTTTTATTCAGAGTGTTCGATTTTTTGCTTAACAAAGTTGTGTCTTTTGTTTTATTGAGTTTGGTTTTTGCTTCATAGGGTTAAGATATTTTTCTTCATAGGGTTCGACTTTTTCTTTAATAGGGTTTAATTTCTGCTTTACTGGGTTCGGTTTTTTGCTTCGTAGAGTTCGATTTTTTGCATTATTGTGTTTGGTTTGTTCGGCTTTGAAAGGTCCAATCAAGTAAAAGTACGCACTTTATGTTAAGAACCATGGGTAGAACTCGGCTTGTAAAGGAACTATATGATATGCTATTTTTCCAATGTGAGATCTTGAGTCCTAATGCCAAAAAATGAACTCTGTGAGGCCAAAACCTAACTCTCAAGAAAAAAACCCGAAAGTCGAACTTAATGGAGTAAAAAGTTGAATGGTTTGAAGGGAAAATCGAACCAATGAAACAAAACGCTGAACAAACCCAAACTTAATGAAGAAACAGACAAGAGCATGAAGCAAAAAACTAAACCCAATGAAGCAAACGTACTCAGGACTTTAAAAACCAAATATGAAACTGTGATGAACATTTTGATTGCTGGAATAATTCCTCGTAACAAAACAAAAGAGTGCACTCATTACAAGTTCAACGTATGAACGAGAAATCCTGCAATAAAGGATTGCATTATAATTTATCTCTTACAAAACCAAGTAAACCAGTTGAATAATGAAACAAACTTTTCTCAACTTGTTGCAGCAATGAAAAGAGTGTCACGCATATAAGAGGTCTCTGGTAAGCTCGTCTACAAGTCCGCTGAGCACAAGCCTCTCCAAATCCTTTATAACTTCATCTACTTCAAGAATTGCAAACATGGTCTCATCCCAACCCATGTCCCACATACAACTTATGTCAGGCTCCAAGTTATGCATATCGCTTTCGAGCATTTTTGGCACATACTCTTCAGCTTCACATTCCAGTTTCCCATTTCTACCATATAATTTGAGCTTTTCGAAATCTTTATGCAATTGTTTAACCAACTCATCCAAGGACTGTGTCTGGATGAAACTTATTGATATCTTCACACAATTAGGATGAACATTGAGCTCTTGCCTTCTCCCTTTTCTTTTCATTACTTCATAGCCACAGTCTAATGTGAGCTTGCTATCTTCATCTTGGCTGCAATTACGACCACTGTCATGAAGAATGCCAAATGGGATATCAAGTTTGAAAAGTGCCTCTGCTGTGTTTAGAAACAGTTGACTCTTTATCACTATCTGCTTCAGGCGGTTTTCACTTTCTGTGAGTGGCTCTTGTTTTCTCCAGTTGAAAGTTTTCTGGTGCTCCAATTGCACTGGATGAGAAATGTCTAAGCTGTCTTCATGGGTTCCTGCAAATTTCAGGAAAGTAACAATTTTTCATTCTGAAAGATACTAAGATGGGAAGTTGAATTGAAAGCAGAGGTTCTACTTACCATTAAGTGTATTTGGTCCAGTTGTGCACTCGTCATCTCCAAAAACAGGTGCTTGATCTTGCTGATTATCAGTTACTAAGACTGAGTTTTGACACTGCATAGCATCCAACAAAGCTTAGTTGAGTTCCCCATCAATTTTGGATTGAGCAAAAGTAATGTAAATGAAAAAGTACACTTTATTTGCAATTCTGGATGTGTGCTGGAGTAAAGATGAACTTACAATGTCATTTGGAACGAGATTTTGTGGTTCTTTAAGGCTTCGGCATTCAAGTTCATTGAAATCATACAAAGTGGAAGCCTGCTCAGCTTCCTTTTGTATGTTTTGTGCCAAAGCTGATGGTTGAATGCTTGATGTTGATTTGTTGGATTTGACGATCCGTGGCTCTGCTTGCTTCAACCTGCTGGTTTTGACTTTTTCTGCTACATTATGGCCACCGAGTTTTTCATGGCTTCTGTGTGCAACTTCTTGCAAAATGGAAGTCTGACGTTTTAGTGGCCTTGTCAAGTTATTCAGCGTTCCATTTCTTCTGGTCACTACTTCGTCGATCCTTCCAGGGATTTCGCTTTTATTCACTCTTCTAGATTTTGCTTTCTGTAAGGGTGCTACATGAACAGGTCTCTCCTCCATAACTGGTGAAATGCCAAAATTTTCTTTTGCTGGTTCAGGGCCTTGGTCATTTGGAGAAAAATCTTTCATACTCAAATTCAACTCAGCAGAACTTTTTCTTCTGGCCAGATTTCCATTGTAGGTGCCATTTGGAACTCCTTTGGATTGCACTGCAGCAACGGCTTCTCTCATACTTTTCTTATTTGCCCTAGCTTGGTCTGTATGTAGCTGCTTCTTTTGCAAATCTACTGCTCCTTTTGATATACTCTTGGATATCGTTTCACTTCCTCGTTTTCTCGACTGCATCTTTTGTTGTGCACTCTGCTGCTCCTTCACCTCTCCTCTACGCTTTTCTTCTGGTGACTCCGATCTCCAAAGCATGGATGGCTGCTGAAATTCATGATTGTTCTGCGACTTGTGCTGATTGCTTGGGAGAACCTTGAACCCTGTTTTTCCTTGCATCATAAGTTCAGCTTCAAAACCGTTATGTCCCATAGGTTTATCTGGTTTGATGATTTGAGGGGATTTCTGCTGCTTATCTGTTTTGGTGGTTGTCTTTCCTGGTCCTTTCACAGGTTTTGGTCCTTCCAAGTCCTTCCAAGGTGGTTTCCCATCATGAATAACCACCTCAAGGCTAATATTGTTGGCAATCTTGCCTTTTTCTGCTTGCAAAACAAAACTAGTATTCTGCAACAAAGGATACTTATTGCCTTCTACAACTTTTTGTCTATTTGTAGACGCCAGATTCTCAATATCCTTAGTCCTAACTCCAGAAATCTTACTGGCTTCCTGTATTGTTTGCCCTATCACCCGGCTTTCTCTTTTTGGTTTGGAACTGGAGACTTTCTGTGCGGTGTGCTTCAAGTTCTCATTTTCTGGAAGCTCATTCAGCCCCATTAGTTTTGCAATTACGTTAGGAATCCTTTCCTTTTCTTGTTTAGACTCTTTCTGGTCTGAAGATATTGATTGGTTCTTGACACCAGGGCTATAGCTGACTGATTTCCTCTGAGAAACTGATGTGGAGGTTATTTTGCCTTTCTTTTCATGGTTGAAGCTACTACCTTCAGTAGAGTAAGTGAGAGCTGCGGTCACCTTCTGCTTGAGGCCCGTCCTTCCAACTTCTTGGATTTTATGAGCGTGTCTTGAGGACTTGTCGAAGGAGAACCTTGGTAGATCCAGTTGCATTTGCTCAGCTGGTTTGACAGTGTTGTCTTCATCATCCTCATCATCTTCATCTAGTAATGTGATCCGATTTTTATTCTGTGAGCTGACCATGTATTCTGAAGCTTCCTGCAGGTTTACAAGCATTCTCAAGGACTCTTCCAAATCCATGGCTCCTTTCATGAGTTCCTTCCCAATTTCTATTGAAAATTTATCAGCATTAATGCCATTAGAGCATGCTCTTAGGATTTGGTTTAATTTCTGTGCCCCTCTTGATATTTCTTCAATATGGATATTAGAAAGGTTTGGAAACTGGTTAGTTGAACCCCAGTAACTATTTACACTTCCTTTTCTTTCCAGCTTTCTGAAGTCTATGGATCCCCTTCCAAATTGATTCAAAAATCCCAGCATTGTACTTCTGCTAGATGAATCTGTTCTGCCGAGTTTTCCTCCATTCTCGAGTGCAAAAGCCAAGGCCATGGACAGATCTCCTACTTGTCCTGAGCTCCTATCTCTCCCATAAGCAACAATCTGATTTGAAGCCTCTTGAATGATAGGTGTTCTACCACTTCCTCTATAACTGTTTTGGGGGTTCCCAGTTCTTGAGCCAATCTGCATAAGTGGGGAAAAAAAATGAAAAACACTTAGACTAAATGAAGTTCATTTTGTCTGCTTAACAAATAATCAGATCAGAACAATTTCAGGTAATGATTTCTTACTGTTCCATTTGTCCTCATATCCCCTCTTCCTCTATGAGTTTGCTTGGAATAAGCATATGCATCTGTATCAAGACATGAAAGTTGACTGAAATGGGAGTAAGCACCTTCTTTGGCTCAGAAGTAGAAAATAGCAAAAGGAAAACAGAGTATTTTTGCCTATTTATCCTTCTTTTGCTTTGCTGTTTGTTTAGATAAAACTTTGTCTGGTAAAATCACTATCCAATAAAACTCACCCCCAACCCCTTAACAAATTTCAAAAGTACTGATTTATAGCTTGCTTAGAAATCTAAGCTTGTCATATTTGTTGCAGTGCCTAAATATTTGATTTTTTATACCTATTTTAATTTGAGAACACAAACACACCAAACATGTCTACTTCTACAACAACAATGAATTTATGATTACTTGCAGCCCTGGTAAAAGGATGTTCATTAGCCCATCACCTGATCACTTCTAGCTCTCACAAACGAAG